CTTTGCTTGTGTTTAGATTTTTTTAACAGTGTAGTTGGCATTTTTTTATTTTCTTGTTGGTTTCACACTTCCTCATGTTAAACTGTCCAAGTGCAACACACCGGTTTGTCACTTGAAGGCAAACTATGATGGAGAGTTTAGCTGTGAAAGACAGGGTACCGAGCTAACAACAGGTCACAATAGTACACTGTTAGTGTTCAGCTTTGTCAGCACTGTGCCAGAAGAAGTGTAAACTTTGTTCTGTAATTGTGTAGGCCACAGTGGTAGTGTTATACTGGGCTGTTTTTTCTGATACATTACAGTGTACAGTACAATTTAAATGCACTTGTAAAACAAATATTTGGACCCTCTTTACATTCAACACCAACTAGGTACTAGACAACTGGATACTGCTCGACAGACTGAAAGCCCAGTCCCCTACAAAACATGCTGAGCACTGCAGTAACCAACAGAGACTAGAAACAAAGAGACTGACTACATTCATGCACTGTTTGAAAAGTCCTTGTAATTTTGCCTCCTCTTATTTTGTCTATATATACAGTAGATTAGAGATTTTGTTGTTGTTACTTTTAACTCCATTTTAGTCACCTTTTTTGTTTGCTCACTGTTTTGCAATCACAGACCAGGGCATTATAGAGCTATACATTGCCTTGATTTGTAAGGTTGTACTAACTGTCAAAGGTGACTGGTATAAAAAATATTACACATAATTGTTTTATGATCTACCAATGCTGTGGTTGAGACAGAGAGGAAGATTGATAGGAAACAGGGAGTAAAAAATTCACTTCTCCTGCCTTTCCCCCGACAAATAATTCACATGGCCACTAGGGGTCTTCATCAGTTAAATGTAAACACAGACCACATTTATCATTTGAACAAATTGATGCTGTCCTCCTTCTTGGTAGGCTCATAAATAAATATGGTGTCTTACCATTTTATAATCCAAAAATCTGACTGTGTGGGCCTTAAATTTGTTTGCTGTTAATGCCCCATCATGATGATTGTCACAATATTTTCTTAATGTTATTTCAGCAGACCTACATGGAAATATTCATTCACTTTGTCTGTGAAAGGTTTGCTGTTGGTATTGCGCTACAGCTGACTGTACTCTCCAAGACCAGTCAGTGTGTCTGTGTGTGCAAAGGGTTTTATTTTACAATCCCATCTGTGTTTGGGTTATCTTTACTCTGTCTGAGACTTGCCCATCCCTCTGAGGTCACACTCAGTTCATCTTAAAGGCCAGCAACACTGAATTTCTTCAGTCAAATGGTTTCTGACTGCCTGCAAGGCAGTAGTTTACCTGCCACATGCAGTCATTTGGGAATAGTGGTCAGGCAGGGTGACTGCCAGCAGCTTCCCAGTGGCTTAGTTCTTTTCGTTTGGTGAAGCTAGCCTCCTCCCATCAAGTCTTTCTGTGGCAAGCTAATGTTTACCAGAGCGGTGTGTCAGGTGAACACAGAGAGCTGACCCAGCATCTAGTGTTAACCCCCAGTAAGGCAGTGGCCAAGGAGACAAAAATATGACTGTAATGAAGTGTTACTGGAATTAGTGACTGTGTTGTTTGTGTTTTCAGATTCAGAAGTCACAGTAAAGAATTTCAAAACAGGAATCAATATAGAAAAGCAAAATAGGACACCACTGTGTTTTCTGAAACTCTTCAGTATCCCTGTTGGTACAGAGCAGAGATGATGGAGGGACTATTTTCCACTTCAGTGAGTTGCCAGCTGAGCGCTGAAGTCCAGCCTCTGGACAACAACACAGTATAATGACATGAACCATATGCATGCTTGGATAACTGTGGCGAGGAGTGTCGTGCTTTCATCAGCCACTTTACTATCTGGTGGAAAGGGAGCTCTGCTAAGCATTTAAGCTTCTTTTAGATACTCAGTTCTAATTAAGTAGAACAAGTGGCTGAAGTCTATTCAAACTACGGTATGACACTATGGCTGTTTGACTGACAACCTGATCATTTCTTGTACAGACAATGTTGCTGTTTACATACAGCTTTCAGATCACTGTGGACCTGTTGTTGGTCAAAGAGGTCGGGTTCGGGTGAGCAGGTGGATTAAAAAATTGGAACTTTGCATTTAATATGTAACTAACTGTTTGATTTGCATTTGGGTGTTAATGGATTTCATTACGCTATTTAGACCATATAATAAGTTTGTGCCATAATTACATTTTTTGGAGATTTGATCGCATTTTATAAAAAACATTAAAAGGCTTCTCTGTTAGTTTTTCTGCTTGATTGTTGAATCAGTGAAGCTGCTACCGATGCGGAGAATGCAGTTTTAAATTGCAGATTCACTATAAAATCGATTGACTTTTGATTGCAGCAAGGCCAAGAGCATTGCTCCTATTTCACATACATTATAGTTTACAGTCTATGACATTAAAATAGTTAATTTAGCTCACACTCACAGAGAAAAAGTTATATCCTTTAAGTAGAACAAGTGGCTGAAGTCTATTCAAACTACGGTATGACACTATGGCTGTTTGACTGACAACCTGATCATTTCTTGTACAGACAATGTTGCTGTTTACATACAGCTTTCAGATCACTGTGGACCTGTTGTTCTGAGGTTGGATAAAGCCCTAGCCGCTTTGGAAGGACCATATCTTTGACATGCAGTGAAAATGGAAGTTCTGCTTTGTCCTGTGTATGTGGTTATCTTTTTGTGCTGTGAAGGCCAGTCACTGCAGGTACAGTGCCTTGCGAAAGTATTTGGCCCCCTTGAACTTTGCGACCTTTTGCCACATTTCAGGCTTCAAACATAAAGATATAAAACTGTAATTTTTTGTGAAGAATCAACAACAAGTGGGACACAATCATGAAGTGGAACGAAATTTATTGGATATTTCAAACTTTTTTAACAAATAAAAAAACTGAAAAATTGGGCGTGCAAAATTATTCAAATCCACATAAGGGATGACGGCAACATTCATAGATCCTGGAATGCACAATGAGGGGCAATGTTCATTCCTATTACAGAGGCCCACTGAAATTTTTTTGAGGAAAAGCTGTGTTAGACTGCATATTGTTTATAGTAAAGTATTTTTATATACAAATATAAAAATGAAAATGTTTCTGGAGTGGGACTTTAATTAATTATAGAAGTTGTGCAGAAGCTGCCCATAGCTCTACACAGTGATCCATGTGTGTACTGTATGTGTTTCTATGCTGCTCCAAATGAGTCTGTTCTGGTTCAACTTGTCTTATTAAATGAGCTTAAAAATAAAGTGACACCTTAGTTATAAAACACTGAGCAGGCTGTAACACACAAGAGTGTGT